GGTATTGCCACGAATGGTGGATTTTGTCGGGGACCTCGCCCCTTCAGCATAGGCATGCCAACACCTTGTCTGCCAAGGAACTGCATAGTGTTTTCGTGAATGCGCGCGAGCACCTCAGGAACACCACCAAAAGGTCTCGGCTGGATGGGCATGTCGTGATGCGACCCACCTAGTGAGCCCTGAAGGGCAGGTCTACTCCCTCATGCAGTCCCCCCCCCCGGCTGGTGCACTCCCTTTTTTTATTGACAGCATGAGGTCGCGCAGTGCGCTGGTCATGGTAGCGTCTAAGCTCTGTGCGACACCCCACCCTTATGGCAGGAATTGCTCACTCGGGGCTTGTGCAGGACCCACATCTTTCGAGTGTTAAGCAGGTGGGCAAGCAACTGAGGACTCGAAAGGTGGCCAGCGTGCATGGTCTTTTAGGGGATTGTTTAGTCACAGCCACTGTGTTGGCTAAGTGGGGATACGATGTTCCCACTCGTTGCGCCTACTGCAGCAATGTTTCTTTGGGTGCTCCTTGTCATCGTCTGTGGGAGTGCCCTCGCTCGTTGCGCCCCCCTTCGAGACCAGGAGTTGGGGGAATCTGTCGAGCGAGCAGTTGCAGCAGGCCCCCGCAATCCACTGTTCGCGCATCTGTGGCTGGCAGCCTCCGATGTCGACCCGCTGGCGGTTGACTGGGAATTCGTTGTTAGACAATGGGAGGGGCCTTGTGACAAATTTCAGTTTGACCGTGGCAGGCCCACTTTTGTAGATGGCTCGTGCCCAATCCCCCGGCTTGATATGCTGGGGCGCGGGGGCCTGGCAGCGTGCCAGACAGATGATGATGGCAACCTTCTACGCGCTGCGTCCTCCCCTCAGCACCGAGTGCTACCTCAGCACGCTGTCCATTATGAACGCTTTGGGCTCGCAGCGGCGGGGCTCCATTCTGATCTTGAGCAGCCCCCAGAGTTTGCGGCGGACTGCAAGGCTCTTTTCCGCGGAGTTTCGCAGCCGGCCCTCAGCCTCAAGGGCACCATCCTGTTTAGTCATTGCTGGAGGGTTCTGGCGCATGCCACGCCAGGGCCATGGTTGTCGCTCTCACATGTCAAAGCTCAGCGCGAAGTTGAAGATGCGCTTAGCGATTCTGACCGATATCGAACGCTAGGAAATCGGATGGCGGACGCTCAAGCAAAGGAGGCCGCCGGGAAGCACGACGTTGATCCCGTTTCCCTTGCGGACTGCACGTTGGCCCAGGAAGAGTATGTCGAGCTCGTGACACGCGCAGAGAGGCTTCTGGCCATCTGGCCCCCCTCGCATGAGTATGTTGGTCCCTTGTCCAAGGTTCCACGACCCCCTTCGCCCCGCCCGTTTGTCTCTCCCCACTCGCCCACTTGGACTGGCAAGGGTTACCGATGCACCACATGTTTGAAGAAGGTCAATCCTCAATGCAGGAGGCCTTGCTAACAAGAGTAACCCCCTGCCTCACAGAGGCAATTAACAAGCGCCGGGCCCTTCACCATTCCCTAAGCATGGAGTGGATTCGTGGGAGTAGTATGCCAGCTATTGTTTGTAGTCTCTGTGGGGGTTATAGCATGCGGAGGGACACTAAACTCCTGCAGCTCTGCCTCGCGGGACAGGACCGAGTGAGGCAGCAGACAAGTGGCTCCCTGGCAGGGTCGAGTGCCCCCCCCCCCCCCCCTCTCGCGTCAGCAGTGAGCTTCGGAGGCTGCCGCGCGGATGTGTGCCGGGGACCGCCCGCGCCTACTCCAGACCAGGGTCACCCACCTGGGGTGACCCGTAATGGTCTGGACGGCCATACCTTGGCGCCTAGCCCCCCTCGCGTGGGGGATAGAGCGCACGGGGTGGGGCGTACTGAGGAATAAAGGAGGAGGGCGGGGAGGAGGATTTCGAACCCCTGTGGTGGGCTCATTCGGCTTTTCTGGGTTATGCCAGACCGTCGGTTTTGAACCCCGTTGGAGGGCCCTCGCCTCGCGTGTAACGCGAGGTTGATGTCGTGCCCAGCCCCCTTGATACTGAGGAGCTTCACGGGCGCAAGGCGGGAGGAGTACTATGCTCAGGGTGTGCCATTTTTCGTGGCTGTACGGCATCTTTTACAGGCGCGTGTTCTCTGTGATCGCACGGGCACGCTTCACAGTGCTACAGTGCTACAGGAGGAAGAGGAGGAGGAGGAGGAGGAGGAGGAGGAGGAGGAGGAGGAGGAGGAGGAGGAGGAGGAGGAGGAGGAGGGGGTGGAGGAGGAGGGGGTGGAGGAGGAGGAGGATGAGGAGGAGGAGGAGGAGGAGGAAAAGGAGGAGGAGGAGGAGGAGGTCGGGACCTCCAGGTCCGTTCCTAGCGTTCCCCCTCCGTGCCGCAGCAGAGGGGGCTCGGGAGCCGCGCCTGACCCCAGTGGTTCGATCGTCGGCGGCCCTGCGTTGGGAGCCTCCTCCCCCTCCTTCTCCGTTGTGAGCATTGTCGCTCTCCGTCGGCACGGGCTTTTGCACGTGCACCAGCTTGGGAAATCGGTCAAACTTGTCGCGTCGATGTCCAGGTTTGACGCCAACATGGTGTTTGTCTTGTCCGTCGTGTTGCATACCGCTCGCTGTGCCCAACGGCGGCTATTTCGCACAAGCACGCAGTTGCACATACGCACGATTACTAGTCGCCGTTTGCTGGACAACGCGCTGGGCGAGCACGGGCTGCCGGACGAGACGAATACCCCAGGATCTTGACGTGCCGGTTTGGCCAAAAGCAGCGAGCTTCCCATTCGACAGGCGCCGTCGATCTTTGGGAGTCCACCTCAATGGCAGAAAAGAGCATGATCACCGATCCAGAGACACTGTCCGGATATTGCAGAGGCAGATGATCGACTGTGTTGATGGCCATTTGCCAGGGGGCCGGTTCCATCTGATCCACCGCATCTCAGTGAGCACCAGTATTGGGGTATCGCCAGTGTGCACACTCACCCAGGGAGCTCTGCAGCGCACCGTAGTCGCAGAGCGCGCATGCTCTGTCAAACCCCTTTCTTTTTTCTCGGGTGCGAGGGGAGACCGATGAAGGTTCTGCACGGCGGCAGCGCGGAACGCTCCGTAAGCAGAAAACAGAATTGGCGTCAATCTCAATGCATTACATGCGTTTGTTTGTTATTTGTCTCTCCCTTCCCCCTCTTCTTCTTTGCCACCGAGACGCAGTGGTTTTGAATACTTAAATCCTGACGTTTCCTGCCCACGCACCCGACGGCGTATGGCTTCGGTTTCGCTTCGTTTCGTCAACCTCGATGTCGCAGTCGCTCGTAGGACTTCCCGTCACGCGGGGCATCTCGCCTGGCGTTGCCCGAGAGTCAGAATGTGTAACAAGCCGAGCCCTACTCGCCGAGCTCGTTCCACTACTCGCAAAGTGCTTACTCGCAAACGTCAGACAAAAACATATGTTTGCCTAAGTGTAGTGGATCGTAGAGCCACCTCGGCGGCTCCAGGCCGTTCGCGAAGTGGAACGCGATAGTCCATCTACAATGAGACCAGCGTGGAGGCGAAGTCCCGAACCTATGGATTTGAATCGTTCTGAAGTCCGGGCATTGCAAGCCAGGGCTGTGGAATTCCCAGCGGGAAGAAGCAACGAAAGAATGTTTCGATCCACGTCTGAAGTTGTTCGGTTGGGCCAATGTTCTGGTGTACCAGAGTCCTTGTTGACAGAACGTTGATCTAATCTCCGCAATGTTTCGGGGGGCGTTCTGACCGCCAAGGTTTTTCGACCAGGATCAAGAATTTGCATAGGGGGATCACAAGTGCCCCGTCTTCTTTTTCTCGACCAGGGACCTTTTGATTCGAAGAGGCGCTAGTTGCAAGACCATCGCGGATGCGAAGCAGCGGCCTTTGTTGCTTTATAGCGTTGCTTCGAATGACACCGTGCAGTGATACACCCATCATGAATCCTGAGAAAATCAGCAACTTTCCCGGACTCCAGGTTCCGATCAAGAAAACAAGGAATCTGGACTGAACCTTTTGCGTTTTCTTAGGTTTGTAACTCCCGTAGAATGTTAGTAGATTTGGACCTGGACTACTGTTTCAGAAAACGCTTGGAGTGAAGCTTATATTATCAGCCTAAGTTTCTCTTAACTCTAAGCAGGGGTGTGCGTTCTCTGCCCTTCCCCTCCCATTCCCTTCTTCTCCTGCTCCTCCCCTTTCCTCTTCTCTCCTTCTCCTCGTGCTGCTCCTCCTCTCTCCTCCGTTTCCCCCTCGCTGCTCCTCGTGTTTGTTCTCCTCCTTCCTCGTGCTGCTCCTCTCTCCTTCTCCTCGTGCTGCTCCCTGCCCCAGCCTGATCGCTGAGGCCTCATTGGTGAGCCCGACCCGCTCCCGCGATCCTCTTGACTCCTCCTTAGAGGGCTCCCACTCCAGCCGTCGGGACGGCAACCGCCGAGTCCGCCGCCGCTCCGCCTGCCCCTCTCGGCGGCGAGATCCGAACCCTACCCTCGCCGACCAACGAGTCGGGCAACTCGATGGGCGGTGTGGATAGTGCTCGAGCTTCGACGAACAAGCGACGTCCGAAGCCTACCCCCGGCTCCCATCGCTGCAGGAGAACCGAGGGTTGGTGGGGGCGTGGTGCGGATACCGCCACTTGCAGTCAACCCGCATAGTAAGGATGAGCGACTTTCCATGGTTACCCCTGCATCCTTCCCTTCGGCCTATCCTTGGCCGCTTTGCTGACCGCGCCCTTCTCGGTCACAGTGTCGACATGGCCTTCCGAAGCCCTTCTCATCCTCATCGTGCGTCTTTATTGTACGGGTTGACGGTATCCTCATCGTCATCTTCGTCGACGGCGGCTCGAAGAAGAAAAAACGCCATAAACATAAATTGTTGGTGCTGCGCGCTGGGCACTCCTGGCGGCGCCTCTGGCGCCGCCCCTGAAGCGTTCCGCGCGACAGGGGGGGTGTCCAGCGCAGATCCAACAAATTCGCGCGGAGCACTGAAAATTTCTGTTTATGTTGTTGCTGCTTCTTCTCATTGTTCTTCTTCTAGCGTTGGAAGGAGTTCATGCTCTGCCCGCTGGGCCACCCCGACAAGTTCGTCCGGGTGGTCGGGCTCGGGCTCCGCATCCAGACTCGCGACGACGCCCCGGGCGCGCCCCTCGCGGGGAGGGCGCGAGGGTGGTCATCTCGGGGGGGGGGAGGGCGGGCAGAAGTACGCCACGCGTGCGAAGATCGCTGGGGCATGGTGGCGGGGGAGAGGCAGCGGTGGGGGAGGAAGGAGAAGGAGGAGGAGTCAGAGGAGGAGGAGGAGGAGGTGGAGGAGGAGGAGGAGGAAGAGGAGGAGGAGGAGGAGGAGGAGGAGGAAGAGGAGAGCGGGGGGAGAAATGAAGGAGGAGGAGGAGGAGGCAGAGGAGGATGCGCAGTAGCAGGACGATGACCACGACGACGACGATAAACTTGTCGATGGCGAGGAGGTCTTGGATTGGGGTGACGATGGTAATGAATACGTGGGAGAAGGAGAAGGTGATGATGATGGTGATGATGCTGCTGATGATGATGATGGTGATGAGGATGAGGATTATGAGGAGGAGGAGGATCAGGATGAGGATGAGCATCATGACCAGGATGAGGATTCGGATGAGGATGGTGATGATGATGGTAATGATGATGATGGTGGTGGTGGTGATGTTGATGGTGGTGGTGGTGATACTGATGCTGCTGATGATGAGCATGGTGAGGGTGCTTATGAGTATGATGCTGGTTGTGTATATGATGGTGCTGATAAATAGGATAATGCTGATTATGCTGATTGAAAGTATTATGTTGATGATGCTGATATTGATTAGTGTGATTATGATGATGATGCTTATGCTTATCATGATGATGCTGATCATGGTGGTAATCGTGATGATGCTGGTAAGGATGATGATGCTGATGATGATGATGATGATGATCCTGATGCTGATGCCGATGCCGATGCCGATGCTGATGCTGATGCTGATGCTGATGCTGAGGATGGTGATGATGATGAGGATGCTGCTGCTGATGATGATGATGATGATGATGATGATGATGATGATGATGATGATGATGATGATGATGATGATGAAAGCCCAGGCCTCATCTCGTCGCGAGGAAAGTCACGACGCGAGGTCTTTGACTACCTTCGGCCTCGGGGGGCCTCCACCAGGCCCCTGGACAGTCAAAAAGCCACTCGGGATGAGAAACCCGTCCTTGGCAGAAGGCCAGGGCATCTGGGGACCCGCGCTTCTGCCAGAAAGCCACGGCGCTGGAGGCCTGGGGACGGGGCCCAGACCCCCGACGCCCTCGCTGCAGAGCCGGCGGTGTCTCCCCAGCTTCGGCTCCCGGGGGTGCCGTTTCTCGGGGCCCACGGAGACCCCCGAGGGCCTCCAGACCTCTGAGTTTGGAGGCCCGTTCATAATTTGTCGCAGGTAGTGCAAGGCCTTGAGACACAGCAAGCCTACCCTGGGTGGGATATCAATCGAGGGATGGACGACTAGTTAACCTTCCGACGGAGCTTGCCCATCCCCCCTCCTCCACCTCCCTCCTCTTCCTCCTCCTCTTCTTTTCTCCTCCTCCTCCTCCTTCTCCTACTCCTCCTCCTCCTCCTCCTCCTCCTCCCCCTCCTCCTCCTTCTCCTCTGACCCTCCCTCCACCCGTTCCGACACCACGTGCCCAACCCCCCCAGCGGATCCAAGGGGAGGGCGATTATTGCCCCATCCAGAGTAGCACTACTGCCCCATATGAAGCAGGGCGCAGCTGCGTCAATCACGAACTTGGCAACATGTCTTTTTAGATCGTAAGAGCCAGCCGCTGGGCATCACAAGAACAAGCCGCCGCGGCTCCCAGGAATAAATCTGGGGCCGAAGGTTCCTTGGTTGGGCGGCGCTGGGTGGGTCCGTTCCTTCTATGCCCGCCCCCGTGGGTGCCCCCGCGTCCCTTCCGGGAGGCATGGACCACAAGTCCTTCTTCGCCCTCGCGAAGTTCTCGCTGTGGTGGCTGCCGGAGGTGAACAACATTCGGGGGTTGTTAAAGGTGCCCCTGGCCCAAGGTACCCCCAGCTTGTCGCTCGATGTTGGAGCCGCTGGGGCCATCAGGGCCTCGTGAGGGGTGCTCTGGCATGGAAATCCCGGGGGCACCTTGGGCCAGGGGCACTTCTAGCAACACCCGAAACATGTGCCGCCTGCGGACGCAGGAGTCGGCCAGCCAGGGCGTGGACGGCGGCATGAACTTCTATTTCATGCAGGAGCGGCGCCCCTGGGGAGACACGTGTTTCTGGGATGGATCGAAGTGCACGCTCTACAGTCGAGCATCTGATTAAGAAGCCTCCGCCCGAAAAGCGGGGCCAGCGTTTTTTTTGTGACCAGCGTGCCAGAAAGTTGGCCTGGCCTCTCGAGCACGTTTGCCCCTCCAGCGTCAGCGGCAGAAGTTGGCCGAATATAGCTTTCCAGCAAATCCGAGAAGCTGGCCCAGACTGCGTCAGCGATAGTTTTCTTGATTATTTTTTACGGCTGCCGCACCAGGCCGTTGGGAGATTGTTTATTCGAACTCGTTTCCCCCAGTTTCGTGTCTGGTTGAGGGTCGGGTGGGGGTGGGTCTGCTTCCAGTGAGCTCGTGGCCGCCATCCCAATGCATGCACAGCAAGAGCGCGAAGCGTCCCTTGCACTAACACTTCAGCAACACTCACATCCAAAAGCAGGCACACTGGTTTGACGCATTCCGCGAGTATGATCGGTCCGCCAAGCGGCTCTATTCTTGTTGGCTCTTCGAGTATACCAGCAAAGACATAGACGTAGTGTGGCCAGCCCCACAAGGTGGACGTGACATTAGTATTAGGACAATGGCCGAGATGTTTTGTTTCAGCGTGCTGAAGTCATTTGGATCGATTCTGACCTGCACACTCCAGTCTGAACATGTTGGGAACCTGCAGCCCACTACACTCGATCATAATACTAGGTGAACACCTCGTTACAGGGTTTCGACATCAGAAGTTCTGGTAGAAACCATGTAGGAGTTCCTGTGATATTAGATCGTACACGTCACAGCTAGAGGCGTCGCATTAGGTGTGAACACGGCTAGAAGTGATGCAATCAGCGATCGTTTAGTTTGTTATGAGCACTGTTGTACTAGCATCCCCGCCTCTTCAATTCCTCCTCTGCTAGCACCTCTGGCTCCCGCTCCGGAGGAGGATGAGAATAGAGAGGCCGTGGCGGCGCAGAGGTTCTCTCGTTTCTGCTTCCTCCTCCGCTGTCTTTCGCTTCTGTCCCTTGTTTCCCCCTCCCTAATTCACGCCCCTCCTGACCAGTGCTCTCCTCCCCTCCACTCATCTTCACTCAGGCATAGCTTCCACACTCCTCGCTTCCTTCCTGTGCTCTTTTCTCTAGTCCTCATTTTCCTCATAGCTTGTCCAGCACGCTCTGCTCTTGTCGTTCCTCGTCCTCGTCCTTGTCTTCGCCATTATCCTCGTCTTCATTGGCGCTGATGTCCTCGTCGCGTCCTCGACTTCCTCTCTTACGACTCTCGATTGGTGTCCTTTCTCGCTGTGCGTCGCTCCTTTCCATCTACTCCCCCGTGGCCATGGCCTGATACCACAGCGTAGTGAAGTAGCGTGGCATCCTAACGTATTATCGTTGGGTGGTAGCATGAAGTACGTCACGGTGATGTACAGCACCACAGCGAACTGGCATTATGCAACGGTCTGTGTGTTTAGCCCCTCTGACAATAGTGCACACCTGCCGAGCCAGTACTGTACGCTTGCCTCTCTCTCTCTCTTTCTCTCTCTCTCTCTCGCGCGATCGCCTCTTCCTCCTCCTCCTTGTCCTCCTCCTCCCTCTCCTCCTTCCTCATCCTTGTCCTCCTCCCCCTCCTCCTCCTCCTCCTCCTCCTCCTCCTCCTCCTCCCGCTCCTCCTCCTCCTCGTCCACCCCCTCCTCCTCCTCCTCCTCCTCCTCCTCCTCCTCCTCCTCCTCCCCCTCCTCCTCCTGCTCCTCCTGCTCCTGCTCCTCCTCCTCCTCCTCCTCCTCCTCCTCCTTCTCTGCTCACACCTGTTGCTCCCGCTCCTTCCCTGCCTCCACTCCTATCGCTTCTGCCTCCTCATCATCCGCCGCCTTCCGCTTCCGTCTCCTCTGCCGACCTGCGTGCGTGCCTCGCGCGCCACTGCCGGCTGGCGGCTCACAGCGAGGCCATGAGGTCAGTGTGAGAACCCGACGGCTTTCTCAAGGAGTCGGTGCTGCGATGACGAAGACCTCGTTCGTGGCTTTCTCGGCGGCGAGGTCCGCGCCCCTGCCATCGCAGATCAACGATTCGGGCAACCCGAGTGGCGGCGGGGGTCAGGGTTCGGAATCCGTCGAGCACGTGGCGAAATCCGAACCCTACACCCCGTGCCAACGATGCAGCGGAGTCGATGCTGGGTGGGGGCAGGGTTTGGACGTCGTCACCCAGAGGGATCACTGCCGCGAGCATGCGAGTCCTGCCTCTGGCTTTACGTCGGGCCTGTCCCTCTACAGGGGGAATATCCAAAAATGGTCAAGCACTAGTGAGGGGACAACTTTTTGACCATCTCGTGGCTATTTGGGGGCATTGATTGGGCATTTCTTTTCTTTCACCCAAAATCCGCCTGCAGGGGGACATGCCCGACCTAACTCTTACTCGCGCGGTGGACCGCTCTGCCGCTCTCTCTCTCTCTCTCTCTCTGCTCTCCCCGCCGCCGCCCCGCCCGACGGCCTCCCGCGCGCGGAGGCCTCGGCTCCTGCACTCCGCGCGCGCCGGGGGCGCGCGGGGCGCGCGGGTGGGGGGAAGCAGGATCAGAGGGGACGAGAAGGGGCGAATAGCCCAGGGGAGAGCAATACGTGTACAGTCGGGGCGCTGAAGAAGGAACCCTTTTCGTTGGGGAGGGGCTCCGTGTTCCTTGATTGTTTCACAGCTTGCCCTAATTAGGTTTTCCTCAGGTTTTCGATGGGAAGTCGAGCCTTCACTGATGGGCAAAAGGGGCCTCGTTCCTTATTTAGGGTTCCTTAGGTCAACGTCCCGACTGTATTCA